TTTTGAAGGTTGACTTTTCTATGAAATAGTAAATACGAAATGATTATATTTTAATGATTTTTATAAAGAAAATAATAATGAAAAAATTATTGGCAATCATTGATAATCAAAGAGCATTATTAGTAATCATTAGAGAATCATTAGTAATTGAAACAATCAAGACTTCAGTTATTCCGCATCGAATATCGACAAGAAATGATTTATCGATATCAACCGTTCGATAGTCTTGAACGAAAAATCAAACGGCAAGAATAAAATCTAAATAAACTTTGAAGATTTCCATTGATAGACCAGTTTGATGATTAGTGATTTTATTACAAGAAAATATATTATTATTCGCGAACGGAATAAAAGCAAATGAATAAAAGATCTTCATATCATTGATAGTCAACATAGTGAAGCGGAGAAATTTAATAAGACAATTCACTCTATTTTATACATTGAAACGTAATATCACAAAAAAAGAAACATTTTTGTTTTATTAATTAGTATGATAAGTGATATGTAGAAATTGAAGTCTCGAACAAAGTGAAAAAAAGAGAAAATTATTACAAAATGATCCTCTTTTATATTTGTTCAATTATTTGCTTGTATTCCTAATTCCTTTTCCGAACTCTTATCTTGTTCTATTACATAAACATATGAATGAAGTAAAAATGACTCGGAATATAACTCTGACCTAAGTAACAAAATTATTTAGAAAAAACTATATACATCTGTACTTTGCGAAGAGAATAATGTTTACATAAATATCCATTTATTACGTATACTCGTTGCGCAAATCAGGTGTTTTTTTTTCTTTTAACTGTTTGTTTACGTATACAATATTATCAACAATTGTTAGATTGAAATAAAACGTCATTTGTGATGGAGAAACCATCGATGTAATATAAGATGAAAATCAAATAGTTTATCAAGCGTATGTTTCTGTGCTTATTTCTCTTTTTACCAAGAAATAATCAAGCTATAGTATTAGTGCCGTTGGTTTCATTGACACAGCGAGTATGATGTGAATTTGATAATGTATTTTAAAAATTATTTTTATTCTTGCAGTGCTAATCAAGTAAAATAAATGACTATATTCCTTAATTCATTTTGTTTCTTTCTAGATCGGTACATTCTATAGTATATCTCGTAAATAGATGCAAGTTTTGTTAGCTCGATTTGTTTAAAGTCTCATATTGACACGACGAAAACGGCAACTTTAAGTATCTAATTGATGAATAGACCATTTCGGGAATATTTCAAGACATAACGTAATAAGTCATTTTTTCTCTAAAACAAAAATAAAAGAACAATTAGAGTAAGATGGGGGAAATGCATAAAAAAAAACAGCGACCTTCAATATAATGGTTATAACTTTTTTGTTTTTGATTATTTCAAAAAACTTTCTTCACAAGTCATGTAGTTAAGCTGACACTCTATCGATTGGTGAAAACCGCGTTTCCAAATCTTCTCTAGAGAGCTATCCTCAAAGGATTCTTGAAACAGAAGTTTTCGATTTTACTTCTTCACGCTTGGGGGTAAATCGATAATCACGCTTATCCCAGTGGGGAAAATGCATAATCTCAGCAATTTTTTCATTGTGACGTAAAACTAAACTTCTGAGCGACTAAGACATCGGTTTTTGATAATTCTTTCACCAATCGATAGTCCGAAGTCTTCGCTATCGTTCTAAACTAATCCAAAAACTATATATGCAAATTATTAAATCCCTTGGTTTCCTACAAACCAAGCAAAAAAAATATTTTTTGTGTACATTTACCCCATGAGGGGTGATTGTATAATTCTTATTAGATGCATAGGGTGAATGTATAAATCCAGTCTTTCGACATGGACTTAGTAAAAAAAAAGTTTCTGGAGATCTCCATGGGTTCTTCAGATTTTTCGTATATGGAAAATGTTCAGCTTTCAATGCTCTATCATGGTAGAGGTTTTATTAGAACACTCCAGGAAAATATTCAGTTGTCTTTCCAGTGTAATATCATTCATTTTGCTTGAACAGCCAATCACATAGATTTATATATACTTTATTCGTAAATGGGCGACGCACTATTGTGGTATTATCTTATTAGATAGCTTTACTTGACTATAAGAACGAAGAAATCTTCGTCTATACAAAGGCGGACGAAAAGATCGGACTATATTATGACGAGGAAAGTAAATCGGTGTTTATATCGTGTTTACCGGTTTACTTATAGGTGGTGCATTTCTTTACAACATTTTCTCAAACTTTCTTCGTTAATATACAATTAATTTTACTTCACTTCAAATGACTCGCACCTATATTCGTAAAAAAGTACGTGGTTATTCATCTGCTGATCTTGAAGTTGCATTACAATGTATTCGAGAAAATACATTAACAGTAAATGCTGCTGGTGAAAAATATCATATTCCTCGAGCTACCCTTTATGCACGTTTATCTTATCGTCGTGGCGTTGGAAAACAAGGTGGTAAAACTATCTTATCAACAGAAGAAGAGAAACTTCTTATTCATGTTATACACAAATATCAAGAATGGCAGCAGCCACTGACTCAATCCGATGTGATTTCAATCGCACGAGACTTTATGATCGAATTGAATAAAAAAAATATTGATAACAATTCTTCATTACGCGAATGGTTTTTGTGTTTTCGTCAACGATGGAAGAGTGAAATTAAACTGGTGGAAGCTTATAAACTTGAAAAGGTTCGATCTGTTTCATGTACTCAAATGACTGTTGGTAAGGAAATGTCCTTTTTCTAATCATAACTTTATTTTCAACTTTTAGATCGTTGGTTTGATCATCTACGTGACGTTTTTACTAAATTTAATCTATTTGATTCGCCAGAAGTGATATACAACGTTGATGAGTCCGCATTTGGTGATGATCCATCTTGAGGGTGAGATCAGCTACCAAGACACGTGTTTCGACTCGGCTAAGAGTCTCATCAGTTGGCTTCACAATCTCTAGTTCGATTACATAGAAATAAATCTAGAATCAAGTCGAGATCTTTAACTATACTGTCAGAAGTTTAGCTATAGATATAAACTAAACTCTAATGATAGTTATTCTTTATGGCAGTGTGAGATCAGCTACCAAGACACGTGTTTCGAGTCGAGAGAAGTTAGATGAGGAAAGAGTAACAGACGGAATTGGAAGCACTTACGACGCGTTTCGTCTTTGCTTAAGGGACTCATCAGGTAAGTTTGGAATGTGGGTGTGAAGAGATTTATAAGAAAGGAAAGATTCGAACACAAGAATCACTGTAAGATCGCTGAAATGTTTGTATAAAACGGTTAACAGATCATTTGGCTGTGGTAAGTGTTGAATCGAAAGGAAAGAGTGAAAGGAAGATGTTTTCCAACGGTATGGAAAAGTTGTAGATTCTTAAATCAGGATGGTGTGGTTAGAGATGGAAATAGAAGAAAAACTAATAAAGCTGACTAGTATAGCTATGTATATGTTGTGTAGCGAAGAGATGAGCCTGATGAAGAGATGTAATCCATTGGGACGAAGATGACCATATGCAGTCATATCTTCATGGCCAGAAGGACTTCTATCGCCACTGGGCAATACCTTCTTCATAGCATATTGAGATACGTTTCTACCCCAATACCAACGATTACGAAGAATTAAAGATAAAAAAAACAAAGACACTATTCAAACCCCAATTTTATTCTGAATTTGGTATGGATAAGTTCCCCAAAGAATGAAAAGGAGTAGTGTCCAAAAAAGAATGAAACCCTGACTAAACGAAATATTTACCAAGGATGATATGTATTGGTATAAGAGTTTGTTGTAGTGATAGCTGTTGGATCGAGTGGATGAATGGAGTGTTGTAATAAGAAGAGATGTTGTAGTGATCGATGTTGGGTCGAGTGGATGAATGAATAGAATCTGAAGATAACATAGCTTTATATAGTAAGCTGAGGACACTAGGACATCGGAACACTGTGGACACTAAGAATACCGAGGACAATAGAACCTCAGAGACATCAAGACACCAAAGTATTAAAGACACCGTAGGCACCGAGACATCATCGACACCAAAAACAATAAAGACATTAGGACACCGTAGACACTATGCGGTGAAAACACCAGAGACGCTGAAACGTGGAGAAATCGAGAAAAACGAAGACACTTAGTAGTAAAAACACCAGAGACACTGAAACACGAAGACACTGAGAATATCGAAGACATTAGAACACTGAAGCAACAAGACACTGAGGACACCTAAAAACATCGAGAACGACGGAATGCATAAAAGCACCAAAGACATTGAG